GAGGCTGTGGATGCTCGGGAAGAGAAGGGAAACAGGACTGCTGGGGTGTGGGCAGGAGTCCCTCGGGCAGAGACACCTCTCTCATTCGGCTTTGGCTTTGGATCCGGTCCCCGGGATTTTAGCTCGGATCCTGAGGGAGCAAAATTAGGGAGATAGATGGAGGAGGTGTGGAAGGTTACTGAGTGCTCGAAGCTGGCCCCTGCCCTCCGCCTGAGGACCTGCTCTGAGAAAGAGACAATATGCCCTGGGAGATTTGGGGATAGGAAGAATAATGGAAAAACAAAACAAACCCCACAAACATCGACAGATACCCCAGGCTCCGTCCCCCTCCCTGTCATCACCTCTGGAACTTACTTAGCTTTGAGGTGGCTCAGCTGATTGGTCACCAACCCCACATACTGGTCGATCTGGGCCTGGGGAGACCAAAGAGGCAAGAGGTTCCGGGTGACTGGTGTGGGATGCTGCCTCCAGCTCTCACGGCTCCCAACCACAAGAGGCAGGGTCTACAGCTCCCGTTTCAACCGGGAGAATCATAACCGCCCCTCTGCTTCTGCTGTTTTGAAACAAGGTCTCATGCAGCCCCGGCTGGCCTCAGACTTGCAACGTAGCTGAGGCTGGCCTTGCATTTCTGCTCTTTCTGTTTCCAGCTCCCAAGTGCTGGGGTTACAGGTTTGCGTCACCATACGCTGGTTTTATACACTCAGGAACAAAAAACCCCGAAGCTTCGCGCGTGCTAGGCCAGGACTCTATTCACTCAGCCCATGTTTTAGTTTTTCAGACAGGGCTTTGTTACATAGCCTTAACTAGCCTTGAACATACAGAGATCCTCCTGTCTCAGCCTCTTGGGTTCTCAAATTGTACAATTTTTTTGATGGCACAGGCATTAAACCCAAGGATTTCCGCTGTCCAGACCTGCGGTTCTCAGCCTTCCTACTGCTGCAACCCAGTTCCTCGTGTGTCAAAACCCCCTAAACCATAAAACCACTGTATAAGGGCATTAAAGTTCCCAAAGCGTTTTGACCTACGTGTGAGGACCACTGGTCTAGACCCTTCCACATTCAAAGTGTCCTGTCTCCCTTCCATGAGACATGCCCCCAGTCCCTCACTGTTGGAGTCTAAGCAACTGATCTTTAAGCCATACCATCTTCCTTCCTCACTCTCCTGAGTGCTGGGTGGCAGCAGGGCTCCTGAGTCTGCCTGGGACACATCTGTGGGACCCTGGCTATAGAAAGGAGGCAGCCACACCAGCCGTTCAGTAATTTTGTTTTGTTTTCTCGAGACAGGGTTTCTCTGTGTAGCTCTGGAGGCTGTCCTGGCACTCGCTCTGGAGACCAGGCTCGTCTCGAACTCACAGAGATCCCACTGCCTCTGCCTCCCAAGTGCTGGGATTAAAGGCTTGCGCCACCAACGCCCGGTGATGGCAGTGTTCTTAACTGCTGAGCCATCTCTCCAGTCAGTCCCCACACCAGCCATTTCTGGCTTCCATGTTGACAACGGAGAGTTTTGCCATACTCACCTGGTGTTGTCTGTACAGGAGGGGGACGGTGAACAAAGCAACCACTCCTATAAGATACAGAAAAGGGAGAGGGGTCAGGTTCTCCTAGCAGAGAGGGACAGCTCCATGTGGGACCCTACCCCTCATTAGACCTCAACAAACCACTCCCCCGAGCCTCCAATCCCACTGCCTTCCCAGCTCACCCAGGATGACAAGGGTCAAGCCGTTGAAGACAGCTCCCACGAAGGTCAAGATATAGAAGAGAAGGGCCAGCTGCGGGGTGAGAGTCCGTGTCAGAAACAGTGGCAGGCCGTGAACCCCGCCCCCCCCCCCCGTGGGCACAGAGGGCAGAGTTGAGAGTCCAGGAGCCATCGTGCGGTGGGGGTACCTTGAGAGAATCCACCAGGTCTTCTACCAGGAAGAAATGCCGCAGCTGTGTGACTGTGGAGACCACGTATGAAGCAATCAGCTGGGACAAACGTTCTGTCTGCTCCCGAGTCAGGGTCAGATCCATGTCCAGGTAGGCCCTGATGGGATCAAGGAGGTGGTGTGAGCCTGTGTGTGTGTGTGTGTGTGTGTGTGTGTGACTGAGGGACTCAGACTTGGGCAAGTGGCTTTAAAACAAGGGTCAGGATGGGACGTTTGGTAGACGACCAGAGTTAGGGTCGAGGATCTTTGTAGAAAGGGCTAGAGTCACCAGGTGGTGGTGGCACATGCCTTTGATCCCAGCCCTCGGGAGGCAGAGACAGGTGGATGAATTTGAGGCCAGCCTGGTCTACAGAGCGAGTTCCAGGACAAGCTCCAATGCTACACAGAGAAACCCTGTCTCAAAAAAAACAAGCAAACAAAAAATAAAGAAAGGGCTAGGGTCGAGTTTTGGGTTAGGAAAGAGAGTCAAGGAAAAGGAGGGGACCAGGACTGGGGACCAGGGCTCATGACCAGGATGGAAAAGGATGAGAGTGGTCAATGCATGAGCTGAGGTCAAGGGTCACAGCGGATGGTCAGCTGAGGCTGGCTGGGAGTTCTCACTGGAAAGGGTTGGTGCCATCACCCCGGTGCACGGCCTGCAGCACTTTGCGGTAAACCCTGAGAGAGATGGTGGCGCAGAGACCCAGCAGGGCCAGGTACGCAGCCACAGACACCACGCTAAAGTGCAGGAGGCAGAGGAGAGAGGCCATGAGGCCCGTGAAGACGGCTCCAGACGTCCTGGTGTCCTTCCAGTACAGCAGGTCTGCCACTGTGGAGAAGAAAAGTTGGGGCTCGGACCTCACCTGGCTAACTTCACTTTGTTTTTAGGAGACCAGGTTTCATTGTGAAGCAAAAGCTGACTTCAAACTCTGCTGCCCTGGAGGGTCTTAAACTCATGATTAGTCTAATTCTTTCTTTCTTTTTCTTAGACTGGGTCTTACTCTTAGCCCAGGCTGGCCTCAAACTCAAGGCAATCCTTCTGCCTCCACCGCCTGAGAGCTGGGAATCAAACCTAGGGCCTCATGGGTGGCTGGAGAGATGGCTCAGAGATGGCTGTTCTTCCAGAGGTCCTGAGTTCAATTCCCATCAACCACACGGTGGCTCACAATCATCTATAATGAGATCTGGTGCCCTCTTGTGGCCTGCAGGCTTACATACAGGCAGAACACTGCGCATGTAATAAATAAATAAATAAATAAATAAATAAATAAATAAATAAATCTTAAAAACAACAACTACAGCCAGGAGTTGGTGACACACACCTTTGACCCCAGCACTCGGGAGGCAGAGGCAGGCGGATCTCTGTGAGTTCGAGACCAGCCTGGTCTACAAGAGTGAGTGCCAGGATAGGCTCCAGAGCTACACAGAGAAACCCTGTCTCGAAAAAACAACAACAAAAAACCTTAGGGCTTCATGCATGTTAGACAAGAACTCTACCAATTGAGCTACATGCACTGACCGGTCTTATTTATTTGTTTGTTTACTTATTTATTGGAGACAGGGGCTCGCTATGTAGCTCTGGCTATCCTGGAATTTACTATATAGTCCAGGGTGGTCTTGAACTCACAGAGATTCACTTGCCTCTGCCTCTGAAGTGCTGGGGTGAAAGCGTGTGCCACCATGCCTGGCTCTGGATTAAAGGGCCCCGCAATACTGTGGCTGTGACATTCTTCATCTTTCTCAACTCTGAACTCAATGTGGGGCGTCACTCGCTTTGTTTTGGGCTCCCTCCCCTTGCCACAGCAGTGTGGCTAGAGGCCCCCTTCTTGTGATGTCCTCACCTCAGTATTTCTCTGTTTCTGAGATACACTCCCAAGGTTGGAAACCACTTGGGTGGGCCTGTTTCCTATTCTTTTTTTATTCCTTTGGTTTTTACAGACAGCATTTCTCTGTATTGTTTTGGAACCTGTCCTGGCACTCTCTCTGGAGACCAGGCTGGCCTCGAACTCACAGAGATCCGCCTGTCTCTGCCTCCTGAGTGCTGGGGTTAAAGGCATGAGCCACCAACGCCCATCATGCTCCCTATTCTTTAACGGTATAAACTTTGTCAAACCGCTCACACAAGGAAGACTAACAATTTACGTGTGGCTGGCGGTGAGTTTGTTTTGTTTGGCCTTGGCTGCCCTGGAACCTAGAGCCATCCTCCTGCCTCTGTCTCCCAAGTGCTGGGGTGACAGGGCTGTGCCGCCATGCCCTAGTTACCAAAACATTTTTTAAACTCCCAAGTGTATGGTTACACCACCTGACATTTTGAACCTTAAACACAAACTACTGACCCCCTCCCAGAGGCGGTGAGCTCACTCATCAAGCTAGGCCGGAGAGCCCTTGGTTGGGGACCTGCAGCCTCCAAGGGCTCACCCACAGCTCTCCAGCCCTCCCATGAAGCCACACCCATGTGAGCTCCAAACTTTTGATTTCAGTGCTCTTCTTCCATTTCCTCCCAGCTGATTCACCCGAGCCCACCTTTAGTGCTGTCAAAACAACCCTTTCCACCTGCCAGGGGCCTGGGCTGCTGGCTCTC